CGCAAATTTTTGGAAGTAAAGTTTGGAAAAGTTGCATCAATAGCAAGGGAAGCAAAAAACATGTTTTCCTCTTTGCCTGTTCGATTTTCGATTGCTAAAATCAATGTATGTTTTCGCCGTTGAAGACTTATAGCAATATTTTTTCTTTGTTTCTTCCGCATTTTTTCTACCATAATTAGAGTTGCCATCCTTTGAAAAAAAAGGCGAAAATTCTGTGAAGCATTCGGCTAATACGCTTCATATCTTACAACTCTCCGAATTAAATTCTCGTTAACCATTTTCTCCAAGCTCACTAGCTCGCTGTGAGATTTAGTCGGGCTAGAACCCAAAAGCCAGATGAAATTAAAAAAATGGCCAAACAGAGCAGAGACCGAAAAACCCAGAACTTGAGTTTTTGGACATTTATTCATATGAACTCTACTACTTTACAGCGGTCCGTCTAAAGACGGACTCACACACGTACTTGGGGTATATATATACAGACTTGGTCAAAATGGGTGCAATCTTCAAGGGGAACGGAAAGTATTTTTTAATGATGCTTGACGTCACATTTGTCTACTTCAGGCTATGTACATTCATGATCATCCATATTGACCACAAAAAGTAATCGAACGTATCGAAAAAATCTTACTATAAATTGTGATTCATTTTCCGCTTTGTAACAGAATGTGGTTTTGTTTCTGGGTATGCAGATAGAAGTTTAAGACTACACTTCATTCTTATTCTTTCGACCTCTTCGCACGTCTTGAAAACGTGAGGAAGCGTTGTGTGAGATGAGAAAGGATCCTGTATGGAAGGAGGATTAGGGAGCTCCTCCGACATATTTAGTTTAAATAATCACTGAAGTCTAGTTATGAGCGTCAGTCTTGAAGAAAACGGAACCCAGGCCGGGTTCCAGTCCTGGTCCGACCAATATACAAAACTAACGAAAATTATTTTTTCTAAATATAGTCGCCCCTCGGCAGGAAGGCCAAGCCCAGCGCCTAAATTTATGGTATTATAAAAAAGTTTTTCCTCCCGAAGTTGCATTATTTAGGGACTTAAAAATCACATAATGGCCACGGAAAACGTAAAGACGGTTATGATTTTTGGGTATGCATCTTGTATGTCCAATGGAGAGAAAGGGAAAAAGAAGGAGAACTGATAAGGTGCATATATCAGCATGTTTGCTAATTATGGTCCCGCCCTGCTCACAAAAAATGGAAACCATACAAGCGTAGTAGTGCATATAAAGACCTATCAAGTGTTTTGTGTAGCTTCAGATTTGATAAACATACAAATATTCTTAGACAAAGGTGTATATATAATATATCTTTCCTAAATACCATCATGGCATTTGCTTATATTGAGCGTATGGAGCTGCGGTGTCCGCCTATATAATCCTAAGTGTGGTTCTACCAAAGTTTGCTATTTTATCTCATCGTTTTCAAAGCATAAAGAAGAAAAGGAACATTAACGAGGCAGACATCTGAAAGTGAGAATTAAGTGTTTGAATATTAAGCACAATTCTCTCATAAGATGAACCAAGGATAGCCTCCCTAATCTCTCATTAACCATATCATTTAATTACCAAAAGCGAAAAAAAACCCAAAAGCCCAAATTCAAAAGCCGAGAAATTACTTTGTGGTAAACGATGTGGCTCTGCTCGCTCGAAACATCGTTACTTGAAACCTATGAATAGGATATTTTCCACAAAACAATTTGAGCGTATGGCTGTGCCTATGTAAGCCCACCGGCCAGTAAAACTATACACAAAGATATTGTTTTTGTTGTGGCTGGCGTTATGTGAAATGAAAACGCCTGAGAGTAGAGTAATGGTTGCATGGATGGAGCAAGCAAGTTTAATAGGAAACTTATATACATGAGGGGTATGCGTAAATGTAAATAGATACGAGTGTATATATGTAGTAAACACAAGGGCTGTGAACTTTACCATTATTGTTATTACTCATCATCTGATTGAAACTACAGTTGCTGTTACTTCAGCTTTCGTTCATCATTACTCAGTGCTCTGCTCCTGGTTTCCTGTTTCTCAGCACGTATTTATTGATTTTTTTTCGGCAATTACTCCTTTCCGCACAGCGATCAATTGTGCTTATTTGCAGTGGCTTACATACGGACCTACTTGTGGCCCTACCTAAATAGCTCTGCAGTTTGCTATGGTGAAGAAATTGTAATTTCCATGCAATGCATATCCGATTACCGTTTACAATTGAGCGCAATAGTAACTGTTCAACTGCTTATTGATAACGCTTACTTATCTGTTTTGCTTAGGTAGCCCACGACTAAATGGGAAGGAACTTAAATGGAACCACGTCTTACGGATTCACTAGGGGCTTACTGCAGGATCTTTTCATTTTAGGGACTACGCAGCTTAAAAACCAGCTAAAATTAAAAGAACAAGGATTGCGTTAATTCGGAAGCATCGCAGCTCAGACGCGTCGTCCGAGAGACAAGATGGATGGAAAATGGATGTATTAGAATATGCCTAAATCGTGCTTGACGATTTTCAAGGAAAGTTATTGTAGCGCTGAAGGTAGTACGCGTGCTAAAAAATATCCAACTCTTCCAAATTTCGGCATTTAAGAGTAACCGAATGGCAACTGAACTCATGTTACATTTATTACGTGGTATATAGTCAGAGTATAAGATATATTAATATTGCAAGAAGAACACAGCCGAAAGTAAACTCCATAAAAAAGGCATTACATTGTTTGCATTAAAAACCTTTAAAAGATTTCTTCGAACATCCTACTGTGTAGCTTAATTAAATCTATCAACACCACTCTTCACGATATTGCGTCGAAGATTGAAAAAGATCGTGCCGTCAAAGTGAACAAAGACAACCATTAATACTTATTAACACTTAGTGCCAAAATAAAACGAAGAGGACAAAAAAAGTTAAGATACCCAAATAAAAATATGTCAAATAAAGTAAAATGTATGCAGTTGAACATATGAATATATTTATTATTTATTTATGATTTATCTTTAATTTACCTTTACTGAAAGAACCACCATAACTTTTTTTTCTAATGCTTATGACTTAGGAATAAAAAAGAATATCTAACGACGGTAGAGTGGGTTGTAGAGTTCATTCAGGACTGGACCAGAAGACCTAAGTTCGATTTGATAGGGTTCTCTGGAAATACTCCTCCAGCCGGGGACATCTAGGTTAGTGAAATGGCTATGAAAACGTCCGAAAAAACAATTATCTGATGATTCGAAAATAATTTTTAAAATGTCCATATTTTCATAACTACGTAACCGATGTTCATAAGAGTGGTACCGATGGGCAGGGATTTTTAAACCTTTAATTGTGATATAAATATATTCTTATGTATACCTCATATGTTTTAACAAAAAAAAAAATTAAATATTGATTTTTTTTATAAAAAACTATGTGTTGGATTCAGAAATGTATTATAACTTATTAATTTAACTATTAGATTTATGCATTCTTAAAAGTATTAGTAACGCAAGGGTTAATAACGTGACACCACGAAAGGGTTAACATCGAACGTGATTTGACGTTTCATATTCTACTTTTCGCTTTGGTGCTCGTCATTCGCTTGCTTTTGTACATGCATTACAGTGCGTTTTAGTTTGTTCGTTCGCTACTTTTTCTACCGCTCGCCGCTAGTTCGCCCGCTTAAATTTAATTCTATTATTTTGTAAAGTTATTTGAAGTAATTAAAAGTGAATTGTAAATTGCTAAAATCGCGAGTTTTACTTAATCTCAAAGAGTACCAAGCTCCTGCTCACTGGAAAGAATACACAACATTGCTGGTCCTTCGAGCCGGATAGTGCTCGCATCGTTCGTTTAAGTGCAGTGTAATTACAATTTGCAAAAAAACTAAACTAGCGAATATATTTAATTGCTTTTAAACAATCCATTTTTTAATTAAGAACAATAGTAGTTTGCATTGTAATTCATGCGAATACACATACATATCTACACTCAACGATCGTAATCGTATCAAGGTGACATTGGTGTGACCTATACAAGCTGCTCTGCTGTATATTTGACCTTCGCTACACCGCTAACTCGCCGTGTTGGTTTCGTTGCCGTTATAACTGTTTTATACATTCGCTTTTGCCAAATTTTTCCGTGTCTTTGATTTGACCTATGTAACCATCTCATACGCGTTAGGGCGAATCTTAAATCAAATTATCAATAATGTCGTCTGTTAAAACGCGAGACTCTGCATTAAACGCTATCAAAAGGTATATGACAAAAAGCAAGGATGAAGCTTTTGTCATGGATAGTGACAGTGTTGCGAGTTATTTGCAGCTCGTAAACAGTGGGAACTATCTCTGGTTACCGAGCAACCACCGACTTCTGAACAGCTGACGAACTTTTTGGAGATTAGGTGCCGTTCGTTGGCAATGCTAATCACGCATACTTCACAGGCAACCCCAATCAAAATGGTCACACAGAAGGCAAATGGAAAGGCAGTCAAAGTATTTCACGTGATGCCGGAGCATAATCGTTGCTCCTACTGTAAGGCTGCTCATAAGATTTATTTTTGTGACAAATTTCGCAATTTAGATTTCTCCGCAAAATCGAAATTTATTAAAGAATCGAAAGCTTGTTCGAATTGTTTGAGTCCAGGACATTTCAAAGACCGCTGTAATAGTTCATCCGCTTGTCGTGTATGTAGCCAGCGACACCACACGCTGTTATATAACACCGCAGTTTCTTCCGCTACCGCATCTGCTCATGTCGTCGAGAGCAAAAGTACCGCTCTGTGTACTGCATCTGTTAACACCGCCTCGTTTCCAACCGCTTTGTCTCTAACCACTTCGTCTCCAATCGCTTCGTACGAGAACTGCACTGCTACTCATCGTTTATCTTGTCTAAGCAATAGAGCTAGTCCAATGTCACAACGCAAAAGCTAGTTCTATTATCTACCGCATTAGTAAGATTATTGTTCGACACGGGATCTCACGCTTCGTTTGTAACGGAGACGTGCGTCCAACGCTTGGGCTTAACTCGCATGTCGTCTTCTGTCTTCGTAACAGGAATTGGTTCTTCGCAAGGTGGTCGCTGTAAAGGCGAGACGCTACTCACGCTTTCGCCACATTGTTCAGAGGATTGCTACTCGATTACTGCGTTGATTCTTCCGAAAATCACCAATGATTTGCCAACTCTGAGATTACTCGTTTCAAATTGGCCACACGTGCAGGGCTTAGTCTTAGCCGGTCCGTATTTCGCCGAGCCAGGCTGCATAGACATACTCATAGGTATGGACGTAATGGACCAACTCATATGTATGGAATTCCGGAAGGGGCCACCCGGCACACCTATGACGCAGAAGACAGTTTTTGGCTGGACTTTGTTCGGAAACATTGTCAATCCTGTTACGCTTACTAACAACTTGTTGTCGCTGCATTGCGATATTCATTTGGATCGAGCCTTAGCTAGATTGTGGGAGTTAGAAGAGTTGCCTGAAAAACGTTACCTTACTCACGAAGAAAACTTTTGCGAAGATCATTTTATTTCCACTCATAAAAGAATGCCTGATGGTCGTTTCGTGGTAGAGTTACCACTTAAACCAAACGAGTCACTCGGGGAGTCACGGGACTTTGCAGTCCGTAACCTGTTACGTATCGAGCGAAGACTCGAAAGTAACAACGAATTACGTTTACAATATAATGAGTTTATGAGAGAACTCATTGAAATGGGGCATATGGAAGCCATTTCTGAGACGACTAGTATGGCATACTATATGCCACATCACCCTGTCATAAAGGAATCCAGCGTTACTACTAAGTTGAGGGTAGTCTTTAACGCCTCTGCGAAAACTACTAATGGAAATTCGCTTAACGGCACATTGTTCGTGGGACCTCAGCTACAACAAGATTTATATACTATATTGATTCGTTTTAGAACGCACCGTTACGCAGTGACGGCAGACGTCGCAAAAATGTATCGACAGGTTTGCGTCTCATCAAAACACGTCGATCTACAGCGAATCGTTTGGCGTCCAGATCGATCTTCTCCTATTACAGATTATCGCATGCTACGGGTAACCTATGGAGTGGCTGCCGCGTCTCATCTAGCTGTTAAATCGTTACATGAAACAGCTAAGCGCTCATCTAATAGCTGCAAAAAATCCGTTGAGGTAATCCTCAAGGACTTCTACATGGACGATTTGCTTACTGGTGCATCCTGCAAATCGGAGCTCCTAACGCTTCAACGGAACGTGTCTGAAATGCTTCAAGAAGGCGGCTTCGAACTACAAAAATGGCCATCTAATTGCACAGAGCTAAATAAAAGCATTTCTAATTCATCTACGAGTATATCGCATTATATTGCCGATAGTAAAGACGTTCACGCACTCGGGCTCATATGGAACGTAGAAGGCGACTACTTTACATTCGCAATCAATTTAAAGAAAACACCCGCAATCCTAACTAAGAGAGCATTTTTGTCAGATGCTAGTACTCTTTTTGATCCCTTGGGCTTGCACGCTCCTGTAACGATTTGCTCCAAAATGTGGTTCCAGGACACCTGGCGCGTTCAAGTTGGTTGGGATGAACCCATACCAACCACTATTGCTACGCAATGGCTAGAACATCGTTCGCAACTTCATCGAATGGCCTATTTAAAAGTGAGCCGCTGGCTCGGTACTGGAAGGACTGGGTCGTTCACTGAATTGCATCTTTTCGCTGACGCCTCGGAGCGTGCTTACGCTGCGGTGATGTACGCGCGCACTATTCACGCTGATGGGCAGATCGTCGTGTCTATAATTTCGTCGAAGACTAAAGTGGCACCCATAAAGCCCACGTCGCTACCGCGCCTGGAATTGTGCGCCGCTCATCTCGCTGCCAAGCCAGCCAGAAGTGTACTTCATAGTTGGGGCAATCAGCGTTACCCTATGTTCGCTTGGACAGACTCAACAATTACGCTGCCATGGTTGCAAACACACCCCAGCCGATGGGAAACGTTTGTCGCGAATCGTGTTTCCGAGGTCCACGAAGTTCTTCCTGCCGAATGCTGGAATCACGTACGATCTGAAAAAAATCCAGCGGATTGCGCTTCTAGAGGCGTAACACCACTTAAACTCCTGCATCAAGAGCAGTGGTGGAACGGTCCAAGTTTCCTGCGTAGTTCAAACGCTTTTTGGAAGTCCGGTTCGTCAAAGACGCATATGACTGAGTTTGGTCTACGGAAGAAAGTACGGGCGCATCTTACTCATTCGGACAATCATTGGTCTGTAATGACCAAATACTTATCGTATTCAAAACTAAAGCGTGTCATGGCCTACGTTTTACGCTTCGTATTCAACGCTCGCTCCATTACGCTGCATAATGCTGAGAAACGATGTGGTCCTGTTAGCTCTACAGAAATAGCTGAAGCTGAACGCCGCTTAATTAAGTATACTCAACATTTCTTTTATGCTAATGAAATTTTTCTTTGCAGCGCAAAAAGGCCGATCCCGCTTCGCAGTAGCCTATTGCGCTTACAGCCATTTCTTGACTCGAATGGTATTCTTCGAATTGGTGGTCGTCTTAAGTCTGCAAAGCTTGCATAGGAACCGAAACATCCAGCCATTTTACATAAAAACGCGCCGCTGTCTAAGCTAATCGTAGCAGATATTCATCGTTTTACTTTACATGGAGGGCCGCAGTTAATGCAAGTAGTCTTACAGCGCCGCTACTGGGTTATTGGTGCCCGCAACTTAATCCGTAACATTTACCACAAGTGTGTGAAATACACCTATTTAAATGGAAACCTCGCTACGTAAGCGATGGGTGACCTTCCTGCATCCCGTGTCGCTTATGCTCGTTACTTCTTTCGTACTGCTGTCGATTTTGCTGGGCCTTATATGTACAAATTTACACACAGGAAAGGAGAAAAATCCATTAAGGCCTACATTTGTTCCTTCGTTTGCATGTGCACTGGTGCAATGCATCTAGAATTCGTTGGCGATCTGTCGGCATTTGCTTTCCTTAACGCATTCAAAAGGTTTATTAACCGTAGAGGGTATTGCAAGGAGATGTTCTCCGACAATGGGACGAATTTCGTCGGCGCGGAGAAGGAACTCCGGACCAAATACGAGCAATGTATGGCAGATGGCAGGCTTCGAGCTTTCTTCGCTGATTCTGACATAATTTGGCGATTTAACCCTCCGAGCGCCCCTCACATGGGAGGCTACTGGGAAATTGGAATCAAGCGAATAAAGTACCACCTGAAACGCGTACTAGACGAAACTTTACTGTCCTACGAGGAGTTCATCACATTACTGACGGAAGTGGAAGCCTGTGTAAACTCTCGCCCGTTATGTCAAAATTCAAGAAACGCAGTCGATCTCGAAGTTTTAACTCCGGGCCACTTTATGGTCGGCGAACCGCTTAAGTCGATCCCGGAACCTGAGGGTCAAGGGTTCCGTGGCACGCTACATCAACGATGGCAGTTGATTTCCGCAATAAGACGGCACTTCTGGCGTCGCTGGAGAGATGAGTATCTAGTCAGCTTACAGCGTCGGGCTAAGTGGTTTCGCCCATCGCGTAACTTCAAAGAAGGAGATATTGTGGCTGTTTTCAATGAGCTCAGTCCACCTACAAAGTGGTTGCTCGCAAGGGTGATTCATTGTCATCCTGGAGCTGATGGTCGTGTACGAGTCGTGACCGTGAAGACGTCGAATGGGGAGTTCGTCCGTTCAATAGCGAAGTTATGCCTACTGCCCACAAAAAAGGATCTATTTTCCGAGAAATAGAATTCAGTGTGCTTATTTCATTTAGTTCGTAATTTGTAAAATATTAATTTGAATTTAATCATGTAATTGAACATGTTAACATAGTTCAAGGGCGGCGGTATGTTGGATTCAGAAATGTATTATAACTTATTAATTTAGCTATTAGATTTATGCATTCTTAAAAGTATTAGTAACGCAAGGGTTAATAACGTGACTGCACGAAAGGGTTAACATCGAACGTGATTTGACGTTTCATATTCTACTTTTCGCTTTGGTGCTCGTCATTCGCTTGCTTTTGTACATGCATTACAGTGCGTTTTAGTTTGTTCGTTCGCTACTTTTTCTACCGCTCGCCGCTAGTTCGCCCGCTTAAATTTAATTCTATTATTTTGTAAAGTTATTTGAAGTAATTAAAAGTGAATTGTAAATTGCTAAAATCGCGAGTTTTACTTAATCTCAAAGAGTACCAATCTCCTGCCAAAGTATTGGCCCTAAAAAAATGAAGTAATTAACTAGAGCAAGAAATTATCTTTAATTTGATGTATAACTTGTAAATATCTAGATTACCGTTTAAAAGTTATATATATTTTTCCCTTTTCTCCTTGCACAGTATGCTTAAGTGAAACACGTTTGTTAGTTTGATTAGTTATTTCTCGTACTCTTCTTCTTCTTTCTCTTAGTTCTGGTTTAATTTAAAAAAGAAAAAAACAATATGTACAAACATTTCTGATAACAAGTTGTACATCAAATTAAAAATAATTTTGTACTCTTTTTAATTAATCTGATTTAAAATGGGGTTAATAATGCTCTTTTATACTAAAATAATAGTTTTTTATAAAAAAAAATACAAAAAACGGTAGGTGTCAGCAGTAAAGAAATCGATTAAGTATTTTTTGGGGCCAATAATTGGGTTCACTGTATTTAAAATACAGACAGCAGAAACGGTGAAATAATTTCTTATTAAATAATAAAAAACTATTGCAAATATATTAAAGTACTCGGTCACATTAAAAGCATTAACAAAAAAAAAATATTTTTTGCTTTAGGACTTTTTTTTACCGTTACCGACCCCGGCCTAATTCAGTTACAACAATTATGGGTTGACGCATTCATCAAATCCCACAAAGGCCACAATTCGTACTTGAATGATATCAGATTCAATGATATATACATACTAATATTTGTATACCCAAAATCCATCTGTACATATATACGCTTATGTATTTATTTCAGTTGGAATTTATATTTTCAAGCCTACAAAGTACCTTGCGCACACATTTGTTGAGCCATTTTGAGCTCACCAAAATTTACCGAGCCCGGCACTGTGCAGACCTTAAAATGAAACCCTCATTAAGATTATATGATTATACTGTGTCAAAGTTGTAAAATTCTTTTTAATTATGCGCACAAAAAAGTGGTAAAAGTTTTAAGTTCTCCCAACAAAAAAGTTCGTTCATGCAAAACCCAAAATAAATGTATGTATGTGCAAATGTTATAACAATTGAGTGGTCCCTTATTGAAATTGATATACCTGTTTACCAACTGATAACGGAGCAATACTAACCTTCTTTTACACATTGTGGTACAACTGAGAGAAGGGCAATTTGGATACGACGTTTTGATACTGAAAATTTTGGAGATTGAGATTATCGATGTTGTCATCGCGACTTTTATAGTCTTTGCGTTGCCTGAACTTTGTTAAATACAATTGCTGTTTTAAGAGATCAATAGAGTTTTCGACCTCTCGCAGTCGATTGATAATTACACAACATTTTTTGGGAGTCAAAATAATATCGTACGATCTTTTGTATATAAAGGTTCACACATGATCCATGCAATGTTGTTTGTTAATTGGTTGGGGCTTCTCCATGGTCACACGAGTTGTTAGCAGATTGTTCTTTAATTCTCGTAAGTGTAATTTAGTTACGCTGCGTTGGTTCCTTCGCTCGATCAGAAAATCTCCTTGTATGTGTCGTATCGTTGTCTGGTTTCACAGTAGTATGCATTCCAAGTAATATGTGGGATAGCGAAAACTTCCTCGTTTGGTACCATTTCATTGCTAATTTCAGTACACGTTACCAACACTAAATTATCCTATTTGACCGAGGGTAGTAAGAAATAGGTTTTATAAATATCCATTCACCGTGTTAGTGACCAAAATTAATAGTGCTCAAAAAGCCTTAAGTCTGTGGAAATCTTCTGCGGCACGCCCTGAAATCACAAGCAGTTTCTGATTAGTGCGTTCGCTAAGCTTTCAGTATGTCTGCAGACGTGAGGCAATAACGAAATCAGTCGGGTGTTAGTAGTGGTCCTTAGACAACGTTATTATTGTGTTTGAATTGGTGTTTAATTTGTGTCTAACGTCCCAGAAGTGTTTTTTATGTCATTGCACCTTCGCTCTTAGCCAATCAGGGGCCTTTATGTTGATTTGATTCCCGGGTCCATATGTATTACCTCTTTTCACGGTACGGTCGTACTCATCCATGGAATTCGTACAAAAAGTCGTTTCTAGCGAGCATCGAATGACGTTTATCGGATCAATTTAAATATCATTGATTCTGGAGAGCGCCATTATTCGTCCATGCAGATAGCGAATATCTTTAGTGGAATTTTCCGCCGGGCTCCTCCTCCAATTTGTACTGGGATTTTTTTTTTTCAACAAATGGATTGACCTATAATTTACTCTTATCCCCCTCCGAGCCACCGATGGATTTTTATGAGGAGCTTTTTTAGTACTAGTATTTTACTGAATATTTTTTTACTAGAGCTGGTTTTCACTACTGGGTATGTACACAATCCCGTTTATTGAGTACTCTTGCATGCGTTAGGTAACAAAAAAATTACATTTGGGTTAAACATGTTAAAAAGTTATATGCACATACTTAAATAAGCTCGGTGAGGATTTAAACGTTTCGAGGTTGAAATGCTGTGTGTATTTGTCTTTTAATAGTATACTAATATATGTGTGTATGTATGTGTCAATGTGTAGAATGGTAGCGTAACACTCGCTGCCGTTAAGGTTAACAAAACATACACTCAAGAAGCAAACTTTAAGCTTTAAGCCGCTGGAAACTACCAAGGTTATTTGCAAATAAAGCAAAATCTGCAAGAGGTCGCCATAAAAAAGCCTAAACACAATAAACAGCAGCAGCAGAAGTGGTTGCTGAATTGCGAGCTGAAAGGAAGAAAGAACACATTCTTGAGCTATTTAAAATGGGGGGAAATGTAGCATTTGGCTAAAAATCCAATGTACATGAATTGAGTGTTTCTCTATGTACATATTTACTTTTCAAGAATATTTTATTTGTACAGTTAAGATCTCAAAAAGGTCGACGAAAAGCTTTCTTAAAACTCTTCACTAGTTTTCGCCATTATTTTCTCTTCAGCCTTAGCGAACTTTCATAAGCTGTTACAGATGCCATATTGTTGTGCTTAATCCTTGGACCCGTTGAAAGTGCGTTGTTTTTTTGTGTCTTTCATAACTGTAATATCTTCTTGGGGAAAAGTTATAACAGCATTCGCTGTTCATATATTTAACAGATTTCTTTTGTAGGTCGTGAATGGTAAAAATGTTTGTGTAGCTTTGGGTACTGCTCAATGGCAAGTTGTTCACTATCCATATAATAAAGCTTGGCAACTTTGATTGGTGGAAACACTTCCATGGATCTGCGGGCCTTTGTGGCTTGCGCGCTCACGTGCATTTGAACTATAAAGAAAACGCAAAAAAACATATTTCCGGAAATGATAAACAACGATTCATACATTGCCCAATCCAACTTGTCGCTTACGAAGGTACAAGAGGCCCTTAGTTATAGAGACCAGGCCGAAAACAACAC